ACTTTCGAAAAAGTCACATGCTGATCTAGAATTGTCTCAGAAATCCAAAAATGTTACAATATACAGGGTGTTCCATTTAAAAATTCATAACCGGAGCCATTTCCGGTGAAACCGGAAGTGACCGGGAAGTGAAAAATATGTGAAAACTCTCCTCTTCACATACCATTTACCTATACCAAATCTCATTTTGATACACCTAATGGTCTAGAAGTTATGACTTGTCTAATAGATTCGTCGTTCGTACAGGGTGGGCAAAATTGGGCGTTTTCACCGTCTATCTCAATAACTAGAGGAGTTATCGAAAAACCGATATACATGTTCTGGGTTCGATTTTGGAGAAACCTCGAATGACACAATCAAAATTTCGATATCTTCATTCGTTTTAGAGATACAGGGGGAAATTGAAAATTTGCCGATTTCGATTTTATTTTCTGACTACTTCACGGTGAGAGGTATCAAAAAATTTCAAACGTATATTTATACAGTATGATGCGTGGAATCCATTGGCATCATCAGAAATTTTATACAGGGTGAAGTTGAGAAGATACGGCAGCCAATTATGTTTTTTCTAATGGAACACCCCGTATATTTTGGCACAGTTGAATAGTCCCAGGCGTTCTCATTACAAATATATATATAACCCTACCTTTTTCTTCCACAATTTCAGATATATTCGCAAAAATATATTCAGTGTGTCACAATCCTTATGGTTACACCCCCGTATCTTCGGTAAAAATAATTGAGGTAGGATTAAAAAATTCGCAACTGTCTGGCAGAATGCCTGAATATGATACTTTACCCATTATTTCTAGTATGCCTTAATATTTCTGCGTTCAAAGAGATAATAAATAAGATATATATTTGAAATTGAAACGGAAACTTTCCAGCTCTGCCATGAAAAAAATTGTTCTGTATCTGGAATTTGGACATCGTCTATAAGGCTATATTTTCCATCGCAACCTACTGATTTTTTAATTGAGTAAATTATTGGTCTTATTTCTGTATCTCAAATGTCTTGATAACAATGATATCAAATCGAATAATTTCCCATTTTATTTCTCACCAAATATCCATTTGTCTGGAAATAACATTCCTTATGATATTTATTTTCCACATTTGGTGAATATATACAGAGTGTCATTTTCAACCTCGATTCTGCCTGTTGATAGCATTATCCAGAAATATCGATGATTCCATAGCTGCTGGCGAGCAGTGTTATCATTGGAGATGATCCCACTTGGTCCATGACTCCATGAGTGTATCATTAATTTGTATCTTTCTGACAGTTGCGAATTTTTGAATCCTACCTCAATTAATTTTACAGAAGATACAGGGGTGTAACCATAAGAAATGTGACACACTGAATATATTTTTGCGAATATATCTGAAATTGTAGAAGGAAAAGGTAGGGTTATATATATATTTGTAATGAGAACGCCTGGGACTATTCAATTGTGCCAAAATATACGGGGTGTTCCATTAGAAAAAACATAATTGGCTGCCGTATCTTTTCAACGTCACCCTGTATAAAATTTCTGATGATGCCAATGGATTCCACGCATCATACTGTATGAATATACGTTTGAAATTTTTTGATACCTCTCACCGTAAAGTAGTCAGAAAATAAAATCGAAATCGGCAAATTTTCGATTTCCCCCTGTATCTCTAAAACGAATGAAGATATCGGAATTTTGATTGTGCCATTCGAGGTTTCTCAAAAATCGAACCCGGAAAATGTATATCGGTTCTTCGATAACTCCTCTAGTTATTGATATAGACGGTGAAAACGCCCAATTTTGCCCACCCTGTACATCCATTTTTTGTGTTCATAAATATATCTTAGAATGTTCCTTTTCAATATCACATCGTTGTTGTTACTGTAACTATGAAAATCGTGGTAGATTTGGTTTTGATAAATGCAGATGATAATTATTACCATAGCAGCGAAATATCGGCTGACAGCTATTTGAATGAAATTAGTTGACATTTTGATTTTTGAAAGTTTGGTTGCAATTATCGCAATAAAATATCGAAAGTATCTGCGATAGTGAGTTTGAAAATGCCTTACGAAATTTCCAATGTAATAACAGTTAGTAGGTATAGGTATTCTGTTAATTTCAGTATTTGATACAAATGAGAATTGATAATTGATAGAGAAGAAATTGTATTCTACAAGGAAATTTAATATGGAAATGTGTCTCATCGATTTGTTATTCTATATGGTTGCCGAAAAGATAGTGTAGGCGACACGTTCAAAAACCAGTTGTTAAATATTTCGTAATTTTTGCCTAAATTTGGTTGTAATATCACTCAGTAGAAAAAAAAAAAGAGATTGGAATTGAGACATTGAAAAAGTGTAGTTGTCATTGACCTATAATTTGATTTTACTATACAAAATAGTTCCAATTTATCACATGGTCCTTCGAGCCGGATATCGATCCATAACTAACTTGGAGTTAGATGTCCAGCTGACTACTTCGAATCTGGCCCCACGTTGGGCGCCAGGATTAATGAAAAGGCAAGTGCTTGATAAAGAATTTCCTATTTTTGATGGCAAACCAGAATCTTGGCCACTATTCCTCTCACACATTCAAGTGCATCACCTTTAAGACACTTCTGTAATTTAGCCATTTTTTCATCATCTGTGTACTTACAGACTTGGCTTCTTCGTCTATATTGTGAGATGAATAGTGGCCAAGATTCTGGTTTGCCATCAAAAATAGGAAATTCTTTATCAAGCACTTGCCTGTTCATTAATCCCTCCACTAATTCTGGATTTTGTGCATTTGTAACGGCTTTCTCTATTACTTGGCATAGTCTAGTCAATGAATTTTCACCATCCATATCAATTTATTTTTCTACTGAGTGATATTACAACCAAATTTAGGCAAAAATTACGAAATATTCAACACCAGTATTTTCCGGACTTGTTACATAAATTACTATTATCATTATTATGTAAAGAGATAACTTGGGACACCCGGTATATATTTCGCACACTCTTTCGCGCACGTTGTCGTGGTAACGTAGAGAATTTAAAAAAAGGTCACTTTGCATATTTTTATCAATGAGCTAACACTGTCGTTTTTTGACGTTTGTAGAAAAAATAAGTTATACACTGGTGAACGATTTTTACTCAACATAAACCTCAAACCAGTTATTTCCGACACTTCTTGTTTTCACCTAAAAATATCTTTGCCGAATCTGAGGAAGATGAAGAAACATGATTGTTATCATCCAAAGTTTTTCGAAGACAGAAAAAGCTTGTGAAATAATAAACAGATTTCACGTAGTCCACCCTATACCTATTAGTTTTGCATACGAAATGAGTCTTTCAATATTTAATACCTTGAGAAAATGAACACGTATTCCCTCGTGTTTCTCTATACAAATCATCCGCTTTGTGATTTGTAGGAAAATTTTGTGTATTCTTAATAATCCTCATCACTCAATTATTATCAAATTATATTTTAATGTTCGCAATAATATTGTCGGCTCAAATAAATAATTGTACCTATATCAAATTACCATTACATAAGGTTTAATAATAGGTAACAGGCCATGGTTAATCTGTTTTTCTCGAGTAAAATCATTGAAAAAAATGTGTTACCTACCGGACATCACTGTTTCATTTTGATCAATAATTTTTTTCTTTATTGCCGGGCAAATCACTATTATATCATACAAAAACAAATAAAATGTATCTTTATTAATAATATTATTGAAATGTTTTCATCGATGAGTTGAACAAATTCTTAGAATCATCACTCAAATACCTTTCAATTTCATATTTTTAAATAATTTTTTGGTCGATTTTTAGGCGATAAAATCATCAATAATGCCACGGTAATTTTAAAACAGCTAGAAATTTAGCAATTGTCCCAAAATGGTCCCTTATGATGTGTGGCTTATTCCTCAAAATACATTTCTGTAAATAGTAATCATATTGATTCACATTAGAGGACATTTGAAACGATGAAAGTGACAACACGGCGCACGACCTGTGGGCGTGGTCTTGTCAGTTCTCAGCATTCAGCACAATGTTGCCAAGTCTCCAACATTCACATGATATGTTATGGAGAATAAGAAATATTTGGACAAGCTGGTTGTTCGGAAAAGTCAAGAATGAACTGTAACCTCATGGGTTCCTCCTATTATGTTTTATTCAATGACAGGACTCTTTTTGATAACTTGATTATAATTGGTGACTTGACATGATGTGAAAAATTCGAGGAAAAATCAATAAAATCATTGTTGAACTGTTGATTTGATTGTCCGTATCACGAACGCGAGTGCCTTTTGTGTGAGTGCAAGTGCGAATGTTGGAAAATGAACCTAACTGATTGATAGCCGGAAATGAAATGTCTGATGTCGCGAGTATAACTGAACTATATGTCGAACCGATTAACTACTAACTAGAACTGATTCACTGTAGTGTCTTTTGCGAGTGATTGTTATGAACTGATTCTTGTAGAACCGATCAATTGCCCTGCAGAAATATGCATCTCGTTTATGGTAGGCAAAAAACTATTTAAGTCTAATTCAAATTAAATGATTCGACTTTACCTACCCGAATAAGGTATGCAATCGAGAATATATTATTTATCATATTGTATTTTCTTTGACATCACTAAGGATTCGTCTAGGATATTGATATCTTGACCTTTTTCAATGTTTTCATCAGCAGGCATTCCACGTCCAAAGATCAATTCGAAAATAAACAAACAAATAAGTAAATCAACATTCAGATATTAATTATCATCAGTTCACACTATCTTTCTGGAATGTGATTTCATAGTCTCCAGACATGTTTAATGAATTGCATCAGGAATACAAATGGAAATGGCCAGCATAATGAAGAAGATGAACCAGTTGCAACAGACAGACATTCGCAAAACTGAAATGTTTTTGTTTTTCATCAGCTGAGGCACGTTGCCATGTTTATAAACAAATCAAATATTGACCAATTAGGACTATATCTATCGAATTTTCGTTTTCAGGCCAAGTACCAGCCAGACTGGTACTATACTTGCTATCATGGTCGGGGTTCTTGGTATCCTTCATGATGAGGAACGACATCAATTTAGCAATCGTAGCGATGGTTGAACAGCCGCCTAGATCGTTTACGAATTCAACAAACGATTACTGTTATGTCGTCGAGGAATCCAGCAACAATACAGCACCACTAGTAAGTATACATTACTGGACACTGATGGATCGAACATTCTGGTGATTTTCGAAAAGGGTCTATAGGGTGGCCGGCTAGTTATCCAGATTTGAGATCTTTGTCTTGGCAAAGTCAATTGAGATACAGAATACATTTTTTTCTACCAGCGTTCGTGATTCACCATATACCAATTCAGTTTGGGAAGTCTCATTTACCCGCAGTAGTGCGGTAAAACATTTATATGATTTATATAATATTCACGCGAAATATGAGTAGTGGGTGACACAATATGAAAATTTTAGGTATTTTTTGTTGCAGTATTTAGTAAGTTTGTACAAAATCATCCATCGAATTGCACTATTTATTGTGAAAATGAAGAAATATTGATGGAAAAATAATAGTTGATTGTTATATAAATCCCCCTATAGCCTTCAATTGAAAGGTGTGAGAAGCACTACACGGTATTCATTGAATGGTGCAATACTAAAAAAGTGAAAACACCAAATAAAGAAGAAGTATTTTTGGCTCATTTCCTAGAAATGTCTGGAACCTAGAGGCCAAACACCATGGGCATGCTGGCTCCCGCAATAAGCTTACCTACATATAATGCTTCAAACGGTACACACAATAGATATATCATTTATTATTAGAAGATAGAGCATATATCACTATTGTTAGTTGTTGCTATTTGCAGGAATAATTGATTGAACAAATCAATCAATTTCCTATGCTTGTAGAAAAAATATTGTTCCTTTTTAGGAAAAATGCTTAGCTAAGGTATATATCGGTCAGACAGGTCGTACGTTTAATCAGCGCATTCATGAACATAAGGTGAATTTCTTAAAAAAGAAAACAAATTCAACATACGCCAACCATATATTAGAAAAAAACCATAGTCTTGATGATAATTCCGAAATTCTACATGTAGAAAATAAAGGAACGAAACCCAATCATAATCTTTATAATATAAGTATAGATTATGCCGGTCTCATAGTACGCGCGCTTCCGTGACGCTAGTTCACCGGCTCACCCCAGAAAGTGCCTAAGGGGTCTATTCAGTAACTTATCGTTAGAATACGATATCGTTACCTTAACGATACATGGACCAACGACATTTTGAACGATAAATTCTGGAAGCTTATTCAGTATCGATGTCGTTAGAGAAAAATCTGGGGACATGGTGATAAATGGATTTGATGAATGTTGGTAACAGTATGTTGATGTTCTGTGGCTAAAAAACGCGCGAAACTCGTTAGAAGTTGAAAAGAAGGAATGATATGTTATTTTTGTCGAATAATATGGTCAGTACTTCGTCTCCAGACAACAAAATTGTTGTTTTTTGTGTTGAAAATGTCACCAGCTGTCTGAGGAAACTTCACAACAAGATTATTGACGATAATATCATCAACCTCATGAAGTGATCGACACATTGGGTTGAGATGAACTGTTGAGTCTGTCTGAACCCACATCAGGTTTTTGATAAGTTCATGTAGATACCATGAAATGTAAAGCAGTGAAAACTGAAAAAATAAAAATTCTGTGTAGACAATTACTTATAAGAAAAAGCGACGGCGAAATAACGCTGTGATAGAGGCGAAAGGTCTCTAGGTCCGAATCTCTGGCAGAGCAGAAATCTTATTTATATAACGAGAGAAATTTAAATTTTCGTTGCCTTGGCAGGAGACGATCCCGCACGATTCGCTGTTGCGTTCCAATTAAAAGGTTCTGCTCCTAAGGTGGCGTATGGAGTTAGTAACAAAGCCCACATAGAACACACATGGGCTGAAGGATCTATCGTAAGGTCTATGGCCAATTGGTATGTATACATGCATACATGTACATGTATGCATGTATGTATATATTATACTACTACTATAAGAAAACTTCCCTATCTTTCTAATCTCACTCTTATGATAGGAGTGTTTTTGTATTTCTATCTGCTGGCAACATGAATCCTGATATTTCATTATATTAATCTTGTGCTGCATCTGACGAATTAGCACATCTGGTAACTCAGGATTACTCATATCCCTGAGTATTTTGAGTTGCTGTCTATATGTTGTCTGAAATTTTTTTGATGATGTAATGTACCAATGCAATCACTAGAAACAATGAAGAGTTTATTATCTGCGTGCTATCTCTTCTAGAACTAGCTCTACTAATGCCCGGTTATTCACATTCACCACTGTCTGCTAATTTCTATATTATTTTTTTTGTGTCTCCTTCACGTAACGACAAAAAAAAGTCTGCAAAGACACCTCAGCCGATATCGTCTACAAACGATAAGTTTTGTCGTACAGGTACGACAATCGTTAGCTACAGAATAACAAATATCGTTCCTTAACGATTATCGTTCGCTAACGATGTCGTTAAGCGTTACAGAATATCCCCCTAAGTGGTGGGCCTACAGAACTTATCACTTCGAAAAACAGAAAAATGGAACGACTCGTTGTTCCAGGACTATGGCGGCACTCTGAAATGGTCCAGCAAAGTGCAGAGTTACATCCTCTCCTCCTTCTACTGGGCGTACATCATATCGCAGGTGGTGGGCGGTCTGGCCACCCAGCGCTTGGGCACGAAGCGCGTGTTCGGGTACGCGCAACTGGCCACCGCCCTGTGCAGCTTGTGCATCCCGTGGGCCAGCGAGACGCACGTCGGGCTGGTGATCGGGTTGCGGTTCGTCCAGGGGTTCGCATCGGTGAGTGATCATCAAGGAAACCGTTTTTTTTTTGTATTTTGCGTTTTTAATGAAGCCATTAAGACACCGACATGCGTTTCAAAACAGGTTTTCATCTCACTGTGAAGTTTGTAAAAAATTAATATACCGGGTGACACAGGAAACATGTAACAGCCTGTAGTTTTCTTATTTGAAAAGATTAAAATTTGAAGATATACAGTGTGTCCCACTTACCATGCTCACCATGGGTATCTTTCTAACGGTGAGAGATACAAGGTCGGTTAAATGACACCAAGGCCAACTATAATGTGAAAAAATATTTTGATGAAATCTATTCGTTTTTGTTTTATACGCAAAAAACAGATTTTGATCATTTTCATGTCTCCTTCATAACTTGTTTATTTATGAAAATATTCAAATAGGAATTTCACATTCTCATGGCAGTTTTTCAAAGTGATTTCGAAAAAAATATGAAATTCATACCAACTCTTCTAAAATTTGAGATATCAGCACCAACTTTAGTTTTTCAAATGTAGGTCATAGCTCACTATGACTTAGTTACAAATAACTTTTTTTCTCTTGCAGATTATATGTCGCAATAATAGTTTTGTGTTGATAACAACGGAGTTATCGTCATTTATACAAAAACAAAAATTATTTGGAAGCCGCCATCTTGAATTTATAAATTTTAACAAAAAAATCATGATCTCCGACCTCGAAAACCCCCACTCACCAATTTTGAATGGAATCGGACCAAATCTTGTCCGGCATCTTGGAGCAGCCATTTTTTTTTAATTTCAACAAAAATTCCATAATGTATTGTCACCGAATTTACGAACATCTGCCAAATTTCAAGTTGATAGGACGGCCAGAAGTGAGTCAAAATTCACTTGCAACATTTGATTACAGACAGAAATTTTAAAAAATGGCTGCTGAGTTTTTTGTTAAAATTTATAAATTCAAGATGGCGGCTTCCAAATAATTTTTTGTTTTTGTATAAATGACGATAACTCCGTTGTTATCAACATAAAACTATTGCTGCGACATATCATCTGTAAGAGAAAAAAAAGTTATTTGTAACTAAGTCATAGTGAGCTATGACCTACATTTGAAAAACTAAAGTTGGTGCTGAAATCTCAAATTCTAGAAGAGTTGGTATAAATTTCATATTTTTTTCGAAATCACTTTGAAAAACTGCCATGAGAATGTGAAATTCCTATTTGAATATTTTCATAAATAAACAAGTTACGGAGGAGACATGAAAATGCTTACAATCTGTTTTTTGCGTATAAAACAAAAACGAATAGATTTTATCAAAATATTTTTTCACATTATAGTAGTCCTTGACAAACTCCACATTTGGTGTAATTTAACCGACCTCGTATCTCTCACCGTTAAAAAGATACCCATGGTGAGCATGGTAAGTGGGACACACTGTATTATCAATGATGGCGCTTCCCTAGAACCCAATGACAATTCTTTTCAACCACCTGTTTGATTGGAAGTAGACCCTTTTTTTTTTAATAGCACCGTATATTTCTGTAGTCCATCTCATTTGCCTTTATATTCTCTATTCAACTATGTATCACAATTTAATATTCGTTCATTAATTGGCTGTTAAATTGCATTTTATTGAAATACATGAAGTTGGCTGTGGCCAGAATGACATTTCGATGCTTGATAGGCTTTGAAATCCAAAGATCATTACTTAGACTAAAGGCAGTAAATTAGGAAGGATAGTATCATTGAATATAGCCGATAGTGATTTATTGAATCAATGATATTTTCGATTAGGATCGACCTCTATTGGAGATATTTCAATGCATAAATAACATGACCATAACCTGTCTGAATGAAGCCAGCTACCTTCTGCATTCCTGCTTCGAGTGCATTTGAGGTTATGTATGTTTTTGTTTACCAATTTTACTTCTTCTATTCCTCCACTGTTTGAAATCTTCCTTATTTTTATGAATGTACAACAAAACTTCCAGAATGTAGAGACCTGAAAGAGGCAAAATATTCAATTTTTTAAATGATGTTCTGCACGATGCTGTTTGTGATGCGTTTGCAATTGTTCAAATGATTCTCTTTTGTGTCACAAAAACGCTGTGTTCAGGTGCAGAATTACCTCAAACAATTAGCCCATAGTTAATTCTCGATTGTATCAGTCAGTGGTAATATAAAAGAAGACCAGAGTTGTCCAAAATTCTTTTTAGGTTTCTTAGCAGGTAACACTGCTTATTAAGTGATTTCCAGTGCTGTTGGAAGTTGAGGTTGCTATCTAGAATGAGCCCTAGAAAATTTTCACTTTCACCTCTTTCTATCTCAACACCGGATAACTTTCAATCTATGTCATGAACGACAGTTTGGTTATTCCTGCGCATTGAGCAGAAACGTTTTCAGGCGAGCAAATTACCCGAGATTTTCGGATTGCTGGGATATAACCACTACTGGTCGGCATAGTAGTTTATGTCAATGTATTTGCCCCACTCATATGGAACCTAACCTAACCTACACAAATCACGAGCGCAATGACGACAACAGTGGACTGTGTGGTCTTATGGGCTGTATTAGCTCATATGTGTGATTAATATGTGTCCTCATAACTTGATTCGTTTTCGAGATACATCATGTTGAAGTCCGGTGAGTGACTGACAAATTTACAAATATTCAACAACGACAAACAATAATGTAAGATCTGCTTTTATGTGAAAAAAAAACGGCCATACAATGTTCGAGTAAAGAGACTATTTTTAATAATGTGCCACTCTGTAAATACGTTTCTCTACAATTCGATAACCTATTTCGGATACTTCATCAACGAGTCAATTTTTTATACGATCACTCGACACGAGTATGAAACATGAAACCTATCGAACTATGAAATAAAATAAGAGAATAATAATTGGTGCGAATTTTAATGAGGACACAGGATGAATACATGTCAACATAATTTCAAGGTCAGGTATACCTTTCAACTAGTCATTATTTTCACCTAATGCTTGTTCTCAGTTATAGTTTCAATAGAACTCTACAATATATTATGTTCGGAAAAATGATATCGTTTCAGCAGTATCAAAGTTGACAGGGAAAAAATTTGATTTGAATAAACGAGCATAAGAAAAAAATCTATTTTTTGTGACGGAAAAAAAAGTTTGGCATTTCATCTCCGTTGGCAGGTTATAAAATGTCACTTTTCATAAATTACTTTTTTCCCGTGGGAAAAAAGTGAGTACTTTTTTCCCGGATATATATCACATATATATATACACTGTTGATGGCTTTTGTTGTGCTATAGTTCCGAAAAATGAGTCAATAATACCGTCTCCGAGAAAGAATAGCAAGTCCTTTTATCTTCCATTCGACTTCGCGGTTACGTATATTACTAAACAACCACTAAATTCGCAATTTTTTTAAATCAAATCACAGAATTAGACTGACAGAAGTGACATCAGATATTTGATCACTTCAAAAGAATGATAAAGATGCCTACAACGTAGGTGTCCCTACTCTTAAAATTTCACGTCGATAATATTCAGATTTCAAAATGATGTGATATCTTCTCAATATTGATTCGTCCTTTCTTCTGTCACAGAAATAAATAGTGTATTATACACGGGAAAAATATTAGATTTTAGCTCACGGTTTTTTGTCTCCCGACGCGTAGCGGACACAACCTGGAGCTAAAATCTACTACTTTTGAATGAATTCATGTCGTTTTTTTTTGTTTTTTTTTTACTGAACATGTCCTTCTTGACAAGTATTATCAATTTGATTTATTGACGATTACTTTAACAAAATTGAAATTGTTTCGCTGCCAATTATAACATTGCAGTATAGTTGAATTTACCACACTGTGCATATAGTCATATGTGTGAATCATCAATCATCTTGATGAAAACATTTGTACTCAGACTTCTTCATCAATTGAGCCTGATTAATGAATAAGTATGCTTGGAATTTGTCAGCTGATGTATAATATCTTGATTGATATTAATTAAAAGAATTTGATACTTTCTTCTACACATCTCAAAACAAAAAAAATACAATAATTTAGATCTAGTGATTGCTGTCAATTGGTTTTCGTTTAATTTATTAGATTCATTGATATATTTCAGGTCAAAAACCTCAATTGCAATAGAGTTGAAATTGCTATGGCAAACATAAATATTGTCTCACCTAACTTCAAATCACAGACCAAATTTAAACTGGAATCAAAAACCATCATTAGGATGAAGATGCTATTTTTAGGAATTATTTGAAACTTATTCTTAGTGATTGGGGTCGACATTCTGATATTTCAATTATGTGATCGGTTCATTAATGGTATGGAAAAAGATGTTATCAATTCATAATAATTATGTAAATATTTTCAAGGGTTTTGCTTTTAAATGGAGACATTACTACCTACACAAAATTGTTTTGTCGAGTTTTATCTAACGAGTGATAACATATCACTTTAACCGTACTGAACAAATATCCAATTCTCTAATCCACTGAAAATACATTTTTCTGCAACCGACACAAAAGTCGTCCATTTTGATACCAAAATTAGCTCTTAAATTGACGTTTCTATTAATGACACAAAAATAGGTATGTTGCTAGGCAACATATTTAGTTCCTAGGAGCTAAAGTTGAATTTTAGTTCCTAGGAGCTGAAGTTGAACTTCAGCTCCTAGGAACTAAAAAGGATGTACTGGACGTCATCAAGAATAAACAACATTGTGACGGTTGCTTATTTGGGTTGAGACGCATACCTGATTTGTTTCCGATTTCATCAGATTTGGCATTTCATACCCATGCTGGAGATATAAATACACCTTATTATAGTTTATTATTGGAATTATAATATCTCAGTTAAGTATTTTTGTTTTGATCAGGGAAGCCTTCAAGATTCAAATACTTGCTTGATCTGTATTTCATTCGTTATTCTCGGGATGGATAACTTGTTTTTGAATAATCACGGCAAGCAATAGTTTTTTTGTCTCAAACAACGATATTGTTTAGCTTCATTTGATTATCAAGTCAAACACAGTGTAGTATGGAGAGGAATAAATAATCACTATTATCATTGTTGATATGCTCACTAACCTAACATTTTCCATGTCTTGTTCCTACAGCTGGCACTGACGCGGTATTTGCCATTAGAGCACCTGGTCCATACACAAATATGTCACTCTGTGGTTGTATTTATATTGAAACTACAAATCGAACATCCTAGAAAACCTAACCTGCTGTTAATGCAGGTAGAATATTCTCACCACATGGATTATTTGTCAATATTTGTTGCATTGCATACATATGGCACGGCATTGGTGGTTATTTCACATGTTTATTTGAGTTAATTGTTTCGGTTGCAGAAAAAATAGCATGTTTCATTCGGTCAAAAGTGACTTTGTCTCGCAAATTTTGCTCTCGCTCGGCTTCACTATTCAAACGGCCGCCTCGCAAATGCAAAATTTGCTTATCAAACAAAGTGTCACTTTTGATCCTAATAAAACAATCTACTATTTTTTGCAGTGAAGTGGGCATCTTCTAAAAAACGATGTTCTTTGAAATTATTTTGCATCGATGATATTTTTTCTTAGGGTCTCACTTGGTCTGCCATGCTATTCCTACAAAATTTGAACTGGTATTAAAATCCACCAATAATATGACTTGTTTTATTGAATTATTTTGATCTTATTCTCAGTGATTGGGGTCGACATTCTAATATTTCAATTATGTGATCGGTTCATTAATGGCGTGGAAAAAGATATCCAGTTATCAATTCATAATAATTATGTAAATATTTTCAAGGGTCTCTCATCGAAATGAATACATTACTGCCCACATAATATTGTTTTGTCGATTTTTATCGTAACGATGAGTGTATTAATAATGTGATAAAATTTCATGTTACCAGTTCAGAACTAAACAAATAGTCAATTCTCTATTTTACTGAAATAGATATGTTTGTATCTAGAGTGCGAAATGATACTTTTGCGTTCGAGAATTTCGCATTCTAGATGCAATCAATATGTTTTCTAAAACTGCTTTAGAACTAATATGAGAATGAAAAGCTAATGAATGAGAAGGTATATATCTATTATTGTTAATTGACATTTTGTGTTCTCAACATATGACATATTGTTCAACGATATAGCGCGCCAAACAAAGTATTCCGCGTTCTAGTACAAGAAAAAGCCACTTCGCCAACTGACATTTCAACGAGAATGACAATATTTTTGAAAAGGAATATTCTCAGATATATTTATGAATATATATATATATATATATACATATAAAGAAATACATTGAGAATGCGCATTCTCTATGTGATGAAAATATTAATTCTTTCTCGGTTTATTCAACAGAAAACAACTACTTTCCTGGCTATATGCCACGACGAACATTGAATTACATCTATTGAACACAAACGATGAGAATTTGGAAACAAAATCTTCTGAAGTAGAGAATTTGCATTCTCCTTCATAATTCTGCATATTCAACATAAAACACCAACTTTTCTGGCTGTTTGCCGTGTCGAACATTGAATTATATCTCTTGAATATCCAAGAAGAGAGCATGAAAAAACAAAATCCTCTGAAGTTGAGAATTGACATTATCTCTCAAATCGAATAGAATAATATGATGTATTATGATACAACAATATAACTTACCAATATGTTCAGTATTGAAATGAAAATTGAAATGTATTGGAAAAGCTTACTTGTATGAACTCTGATCTTGATGAGCTTGGAACTTCCAAAAAAATAGTTCCTATCAGTGATATGGGAATTATATCTCCCACAAACAGGTTATATCACTTCACTCGAGTAAAACTCATTTCGGATATCAGATCCTCATCAGTAACCTGAAGTCCAGTTATTCTTTCAGCCATTCTTCATGATATACACAATTTTCATCACCCTATAATATAACTAAACCTATAACAAACTGTCATCTGAGAATTATAATTATATATACATATATATATATATCCATTCTTTTGTGTTCATAAATATATCTGAGAATATTCCTTTTCAATACCTTCACCCAATCAAGGGGTTCAAACTTGAACGATGGAAACTTATTATTTTTATAGACCTCAATCGCAGATTCGTGATTAGGTTTTCTCAATTCAGAATTCCTTTCCACGTCCTGTATGATGAATATCAATTTATCATACATCCAGAAGGAAAAAAAAAGAAAAAAAAAAGAAATTATTCTTGATGATAAAAAATACAATTTTTTTGGCAGTAACGTGGGTATCATCAGAAACCGATGTTCTTTGAAATTGTTTTGCATCGATGATATTTTCTTTTAGGGTCTTACTTGGCCTGCCATGTACGCTCTTGTGGGGCATTGGATACCGGTTCCGGAAAGGAGCCGGTTCATGTCCAGTTTCCAAGGTGAGTGATGAGTACGTCACAAATACTCATTCAAATTCATTCGAAAAGTCATTCACTTTTTCTTCCAGGATGTGCAGGAACACCTATTTCCTGGTGTTGGTTTAAGAATCACCCTGTAAAGAGTTTCTGTCTTTTCCTTTCAATTCAGAAAAGTACTTCGGTTTTCACAACTTTTGCTTCCTCAAAGGGAAGAGCCTGTATACTGGCTGCTTGAATGTTTATAACAACACAAAATAGTGTTATTTGTTTTGAATGTCAACCGAAACAAACAAAATATCTAGCTAGTGGAGTTGTGACTCTTCATATTGGCGTAGTCGTAAGGATCTTTGCCTACCAAAGCGACCTTCCTCTTTCAAGATCATTTATTCATTTATTATCCAGCTAAAGAGATCAATCTCATTGCCAAAAGATCTAGGATGAATAGAGTTGCACTAGCTCTTCTCGCTTTTGGTCTGCTGAAAATTGGAACAATTCAATGCCTCGCGTATATCATCCGTTCTCATCGATTCATTCATGATGATTAGTCATACTATTGCCATCTAGTGGGCGGGATTCTAAGATATCGACTAAACAGGAGGTCGCTATAACACCTATAACTACATTATTATTGTATATGAAGTCATTAACACTGGGATATCTTCATTGAGGAAAGATTAGAATAACAGTTCAAGGCCAGTTTCCAAGGTGAGTGATGAGTACGTCACAAATACTCATTCAAATTCATTCAAAAAGCCATTCACTTTTTCTTCCAGGACGTGCAGTGGTTCAAGAATCACCCTGTCAAGAGTTTATGTGTTTTCCTTTCTATTCAGAAACGTACTTCGATTTTCAAAACTTTTTCTTCCTCAAACGGCTGAGCCTGTATACTGGCTGCGTCTGTTTATAACACCACAAAATAGTGTTATTTGTTTTGAATGTCAACCGTAACAAACAAAATATCAAGCTTATGGAGTTGTGACTCTTCATATTGGCGTAGTCGTAAGGATCTTCGCCTACCGAAGCTACCTTCCTTATTTCGAGATTATTTATTCATTTATTATCCAGCTAAAGAAATGAATCTCATAGCCAAAAGACCTAGGATAAATAGAGCTGCACCAATTGTCAGCTTTCCTCGCGTTTGGTCTGCTGAAAATTGGAACAATTCAATGCTTCGCGTATATCATCCGTTCACATCGATTCATTCATGATGATTAGTCATACTATCGCCATCTAGTGGGCAAGATTCTAAGATCTCGACTAAACAGGAGGTCGCTATAACACCTTTTATTAATTAGTATATATGAAGTCATCAACCCTGGGATATTTTTATTGAGGAAAGATCATGAGCCATTCACTTTTTCTTCCAGGATGGACAGTGTCGGAAGACCTATTTCCTGGTGTTGGTATGAGAATCACCCTGTCAGGAGTCCCTGTGTTTTCCTTTATATTCAGAAACGTACTTCGATTTCAAAAACTTTTTTATTCCTGTAACGGATGATCCTCCATTCAGGCTGTTTGTCTGTTTATAACACCATGAAATAGCACAAATGTCATTTGTTTCGAATGTCAACCGGAACAAACGAAATATAAAGCCAGTGGAGTTGACTTTCTATATTGGCGTAGTCGTTAGGATCATTGCCTACCAAAGGAAGGTAGTCCTTATTTCGATATATTCATCATTCACCCGTTCTCTATCAAATCTATCTAAAGAAATAAATCTCAAAGCTAAGAGACCTAGGATGATTGGAGTTGTACCGATTGTCAGCTGGAGCGAGACAGCCTGTTTCGGCCAGCCAAGCTTCATCAGACGCTTTGAGTGTGCTGAAGATTGGGGTAATTCCGGGTATAGCATCCTTTCACACTATCGCCCTCTAGTGAGCATGAATCTAAGATCTCGACTAAACAGTGGGTCGCTATACACCTTTAGCTACAGATAATGTACAAAAGTTCAAAAAATTCTAATACCTACCTCTCCCTAGGTACGCACGATGTTCTTCGAACATTATAGGAAATTTCCATTCGTGCGCTCCAAGAGATGAAAAAAAATCCTGGAATATTATGATTAGGGAAAAATCACAATCACAGTATTATGTATGTACTAGGTGTCAAATTTTGAATAGGTCATGAAAGAATTTATTCCTGAGTTCACTCTGAACCCCACTCTCATGTCTTCAAACTTCAGTTGAAGTATTGCAATTTTTCTCTCAGATATCTCTATCCATGATGAATTGTTTCAATTGTCCTAAGATCGGAACCTTATGGAATCCAAGCTTCCAGACATGAAAACATTCATCTTGAAAAATACCTCCAACTTTTCATTCAGTTGTTATTAATCCACTGGTAGAAATTGCTCGTCACAAGCATATATGTACTGGGTTTTCTAAGTTTGAGCAGGATATTTTCCATTTTTCACATTATTTAGGAGCAAGAAGAGAACATTCGTATAAAGAAACAATGCCAGCCCAACATAGAAGTTTTCAAACTAAAATAAACCTAATAGCAATAGCGTTTTCCACTCGTCACACTGAGGATTTCAGGAGCGAACTTTTGTCCACAAATGATTTTCACTAGCTTTCAAACTTGCTCGATGCTCGCTCAAAGTTCGAGTTTTCAGAACCGTGCTTTTACGACGGTGCGAAAGACATAACCTTAAATATTCGAGTGGGAAAATATCTCAAATTGGAATGATTATTGGTATGTCTCATTTAAGTTTATTGTAATAATTTCCGAAATGATGATTGAGGTACAGAAGTACTTTGTTACGAAGAAGCATATTTACCGAAATTTCTAAATTACCCTAAAGTTATAGGAAGCTATTCAGATGTGCAGGTATTAAAAACATTCCAACTTCGTAAACGACAATTCAATGCTAAATGACTATTGTCGACATTCAATTGAACATCATCGACAATGAGAACAACATCTTTATTCATAAGACTGTTGCTGGCAGTGCTTACAAAGAAACCACAAGAGATGGATGAATCCATTTTATGTGGACCAACGAAGCTAATTGTACTCGCAAATGTACTATCAATCAATCTGCTAACAATAATTAGAATGATGATAAAGATGATGGAAAGCCCTAATTTCCAATGACAACGAAAATGAAAAAAAAAACACCGCCCTGCGTGAGAGTCGAACTCACAACCTGTGGGTTACATGTCCAACGCTCTGCCAATTGAGCTAAAGGGACATCCGTCCGACACCAGGCGGCAGAATCCCTCCAAATCCCAAAGTCACTCGAAATCATACACTATATGAAGCTTCGCTGGCAGGATGGTACTATACAGTCTCCATTTTTCCCACCCGTTCGTCCTCTGGCATTGTCTTTCATTGTAAACGGAAATCTGAGTGCTCACTTCTATGTATAGATTGCTTGCGCACATTTCCGGATACAAGAAAAGACAATGCCAGAGGGCGAACGGGGAAAAAATGGAGACTGTATAGTACCATCCTGCCAGCGATAGTACATGATTTCGAGTGACTTTGGGATTTGAATCCGCCTGGTGTGTGATGAGAACTCGACCTTCCTGCCGATTAATCGACGAATGTCCCGTTAGCTCAATTGGCAGAGTGTTGGACATGTAACCCAAAGGTTGTGAGTTCGACTCTCACGCAGGGCAGTGGAGTTTTTTCATTTTCCGTTGTCATTCAAAATTAGGAATTGTATCTTTCCGGTCGAGTAACCGACAAAAATAATCACTAACTTCTATGTAATAATTTAAATTTTTGAATTCTGATGTTTCTGACGAAGAAAAAAAGATATTCACACCGATTCACTATTTCTATCCCACTGCTCAGTGTTAGAACCGCACTATCTGGAAGAACTGAGTCGGTGGAAAACGCTATAAGGCACATACAAGCGACCTACTTTGTAGTCGAGATCTTATGATCCACTAGAAGAAACAGCAGTACACGTACTTTGCCACTGTGAGGGCTTGTCAAGACTAAGGTTCCTTACGCTGGGTGAGGAAAAACCAGGAGCCCAGAGATACACAGGAGATCTGAAAGCTAGCCTATGGAGTCTCATAGAGAAGGCATGGCTAGCCGAAGAACTCTAATCCATTTTGAGGGCAGGCACAATAGATCTGAAAAGGTCGCAGTGTGGAGGCAGATAGCCCGAAGGCCCCATTCCAAATCTAACCTATGATCCACTAGATGGCGATATCATGACTAGATATATCTATCACTTATCATTCCGCCTAGCATGTATCTCTTTCTCTTCTTCGACAGGCTTCAGCATAGGCATCGGGATCACGTACCCCTTGTGCGGGTTCCTCATAGCCCACCTGGGCTGGCGATCGGTGTTCTATACGACCGGTTCCATTGGTACCGCCTGGTGCCTCATCTGGTACTTGTTGGCCTTCGACAGTCCCGAGACCCATCCCAGGATCAGCCTGAGAGAGCAGCAGTACATCAAGGAGAATACGGTTAACACCTATGCGAACGCCAGAACACAGGTTGGTTGGAATGCAACGAATCAGAGATGGTTGGTTTCTGTAGCACGATCATCCCATTATGATATGCACTCTGGCAATTTCGATTTTAGGTGTGGAACATCACTTGTCAATGTCTGTATGTAAATATTCCGTATTTTACGATTTAAAAATAATACCTACTTCTGAAAAAGGCCCGTATTTATAGTCGCTCCTTAAGGTGATCTCGTCCTTTAAGGCATTTTTAAGGACCAGTTTCCAATTTATATTTGTAATATGAGCTCGAAGTAAGCCTCAAGAAAATATGAATTCCAAGGAATGTACCTTGAGAATTCCTTGATCCAATTTCTATTATAATTTCAGGTTCTGTTATGAATTCCATGAATAGAATGATGAAATTGAATGTAGTAATCAAATGAATATTCAAGTCTTGAAATTCGTACAAATAATCTGATTCGAGTATATTGATTCCCAGTAGAAGCTGATTCAAGTTTGTTTGAAAAGTAAATCTTTCTTTATTTCAAATAATAGGTATATACCGGGTATAACAGGATCATGGTACATCAAACCATATTGATGAACATAATTTGGTGATAAATCACAATTTCAATCACTCATCTCTCAAGCTAAAGGAGAAAAAAGGTATTACGAATAATGGAAACTCAGCATATTTACAATTATATCAAGGTATCATCTGGATGATTTGTTCATGGAATTGAAATACATACATTTTCAATGAACAACTACACAAAATCACAGATTCATTCGAAGTATTCAATCAAATGGATATTCTTCCTCTCCCCGGCATCTTATTCCATTGCAGCTTGAAATAAACCATTTTTAATAGACTAATTCTTTGTATTCGCGAAAATCACGAACCAATAGATGGCTCTATTTAACGTCAAATCAACGTCAAATTTCAAACTGAGTATGAACAACAAAAACATTGCCGTATGCACTCATTGCAAATTGGTTATTTTGAAATCATTTTGCAAAATAGTGAATAATGAGTTAACTTCGTGAAATACGTACAAGGTTTCCAGTATGGAAAACATTACTTTTTGTGCAGAGAAATTGCTATTTGGATGTGGATAATGGTGGTATTCATCATTGATATCACACTACAATTCCACAGTTTTCAAACATATGGAATGGTCGGAATGGTCCACTCAACACTTGCATGGACTGGAAGCAATCAGCTATTACAAATAGGTATGAAGAAATAATTAAATTCATCAGGAAATATCACTGGCTTTTATGAAGGAGATGGAATTCTAGTGAAGGGGCTGGGAAAAGAAGATATGATTGGAAAGGCTGCTCAAAATGAACAATATTATCGATTTACATAAACAAGGATCTCCAGCAATTCAAAACTTCGAGTTATTCTCAAGATCAAATCATTGCAACCAACATTTATACAAGGATTCTAATTCTGTGCTTCAGAAAATGTATATTATATTATTATAAGGTAGGTACTGGCTTCTTCATTGTAAACAATAAAAGTTCATCCAATAATTCGAGTTTTTTCATCAGGGAAAAATGAGGTTCTGGAATATGCACTTCAACAAATAAATTATTTTCAAATAAAACACAGAAACTCAAAACAATGGTCGCCATATTTGTTGTTCATACTCGCAAGGCTTGTAAAGTTAGCCACCAGAGGCCGCACACTTCGTGATTTTCGCGAATTGTAATTTTCCAACATCGTTATCGGTAATCTCTTCGACCCCTTTTTTATTTTGCGAAACCTTGGATATATCTTGTCTGTGATCAAAGTAATATATTGTTAGGCCCAATTTGAACCAATCTTTGAAGATTATTACTAGAAAACTAGAACCTTTCGATGTCCACACTCAACAGTAAACATTGTCAAATTTGACATTTTACATTTTGTAACAAACACGTGATATGAAACAACAATTTTGGTCACAGAACACTGGAATTTCACACTGTCGCCAAGTGTAAGGGCTCCTTTTAAAAGGAATACTCAAGGGAGGGCTGTAAAACAAGTTTAACGTCAAGTACTGAGGAGTCCTCAAGGAATCCTCAGATAAGGAAGACTTGAGGAGTTTTTGAGGAAACGACTATAAATACGAGCAGTTACTTCATCTCTTTTTACCGGTACTATAGCATTAAACATGGCTAGTTGCATATGCATCAGGCCCATAATTCCTTGGTCCGTACCCAGGTTTTCTGCGGCATGCTTTGAATATCTTATCAATCGGACGTGTATAAAGACTAGTCCTTGCTAGATTTTGGGAAACTCTTTGGAGATTTCAGATAAAGTGTGCGACCATTTGCATTTTGAAACTTGTCACATGTCCAGCACCGCAAAGTAACATTTTTGCAATAATTGATGGTTTTTCAACCTTTTGGGTCTGTGCAACACCAAAATTCTTTGTGTTGTCGCCTGGTCAAATTTCAGGTAGGTGAACTATTGCATATGTTGGTTATATTACAAAAAAGGAATATCTGTTCGCCATGTGGAAGAATTGCAAGTAACTGATGTAACTTTTTAATGTGTTGTTTCAAATTTTTATTCAATGCCTCTATATTTTAGTGTGAAACATATACCAAGATACGGATACAGATCAAATTTCAGATTTATTGTGAAAATGAATAAGTCTAGTCAGCATCACGTCAAATCTCTGGGTCCCAAACTGCGCCCTCAGATAGAGATCCGTCACACTTCTTCCGGTCACTGTGTCCCCATATGGGGACGGCTCCTTCTCATATGATTTCTATCGAGCTCTAATCAATGTTTTTACTCCAATTTCATAGCATTCTCGTAATATTTGAGTGAGAGAGCTAAACTCTTTTTTACAGTAGTTCACCGATGACTATGGTAATGAGGGATGAAAGTAAGAATTTGTTAGCTACTTTTATTGCAGGTGGTTCCTTGGAAAGCGATCTTCACATCGATGCCGGCTTGGGCTATTGGGATCACTACGTTTGGAAGGATTTGGGTGCATTATACTTTCATTATATCTGGTCCGACTTACATGAAGAGTATTTTAGGATTCAGTATAGAAAAGGTGAGTTTCTCGACAATGTTGTTCAACGAAGCTCTTGATCATTCACACTAGGGTCCCTTGATGTAAATTGACGTATTTGTCATCTCAACAGGGTACGGACAGATCCTCGTCTCCTCTCACTCTTAAAGTGTTTGTGAAACAGTTATATAGTTCCATCTTTATTCTGGGAATAAACACTAGATTTCTGACATTTGTTGTTTTTTAGGTTATATTGAGGACATTGGCGTATCATGCGTAATTTCCACATGTAATTTCTTATTCAACTCTACATATTATATCCAAATGATGATGATAATTTTCGAGTTTTTGATTTTTTAACTCCAGCATAATCTTTGTGAGGCAGTGAACAAACTTTTCTGAAAGTTTAATACGTTTTACCAAATGGAACTATTCTTAGGCAGTACCTATCAATAAATGAATTTTGATTTCAGACTAAGCCTTATGGTTGAGAAATGGTGAAAAATTTTATGTAGGTATTTAAACTAATGTGCTCATATGTCATGTGTGCTGTATATATACATGTTGGGAATCATTTTTGCAGTTTTTCAGGAACATTTGATATTTCCTGAATATAGGTATAATTTTCAAAATGGTAGGGCATATGCTGCTCCTCCTAATCCTCCGTTTTAATCAAAACCGTTTCCACTAAAATGCATATCCAAAACTTGTGGAGTGGATAATTATAGGCACAATGAGAAAGTATAATATGTGATTTCGTATTAGTTTTACCTCGAATATTTTGCTGATGTATTTACCAATTTTCCTCATTCGGTCACCTCACTTTCCATGTTCTAAGTTCATTTGCATTTTATGGAAAGCTGACATATTCAAATTTGCCATCCAACTGATTAATACAGCCTAACGCAGCACATTTTACCATCATTCCAAAACAGAATTGAATAATGTCGTATGAAGATCTAGTATGAAATTAAAATGTTGTAATATCTCTTTTAACGCCTATGAATGTGACGTTACAGCAATGTCATGTCAGGGTCGCCAATACACGAAACCAAAGTCACTAGATGATTAAAAGAGATCTGTCCGTATCCTGTTAGATGACAAATACATCAGTTTGCATCAAGGTACCCTAATTCACACTAACTAGACGATCCACCTTCATGTGAAACGTTGACCATAGTGCAAATAATCAATGACAAAACTGATTTTATTCGAAGTTTCACTCCACCTGAGCATCATTTTGTGCTACTATCGAGCTACAGTGTGAATCTATACTAATAACATGTTTTGAAGGGTTGAAAGAATGTCTAAATTTGATATCATCTACATATATTCAAATACCGTTCTATACTCTCACATCCTTAGTAAAATGAACTATCTCATAAATATTTGGGGTTCATGTTCTAAGAATAATTTCAACAAAATATCTGTACTATATAAAAAAGCATTAAAAGTACTGTATCGTCTTCCATATGACACCCCATCAAATCAACTTTATGAAGAAACAAATACATTTTCTTTGGAAGAGCACTATCTGATAAATACTCACAAAATTTCTTTTGATATTATCAACAAACACCTCAAATCCAACTTCATATTGGTGAGGAATTCTCAAATCCATGAACATCATACTAGACAATATCACTTGATTCATCTTGATGCTGCTCATTCTACACTTGGTCAAAAAAAGTTCACTCACGGAGCTATCTCAAAATTTGCACAAATATCACCCAATTCAAAATGAAAGTCAAGAAACATATCCTCTTGCAAAGAGAAAATCAAACCTGAGTGAATGATTTCTCATTGACTAATTTATTTCATCATGTCATAATGTACTTTTCATGAGCCTTTTGTTTTATTTATTTTTTTCATATTCTGTTGTTTATTTCAATAACTATAATTTAATTTGATAACGCATAAATAATCTCATACCAGATATGAATCTGTCTGATTATTCATGTTATTCCATTGTAAATGTTAATGATTATATTCATATTTATATGAGATGCAATGTAATGTTTATAGCAAAGATTGAAATAAAGATTGATTGATTGATATTCCTTTCAGAACGGTTTGTTGTCTGGTGCCCCCTTCATTTGCAGTTATGCCGCCTCAGTATTATTCTGTTACATTGCCGATAAGCTGGTCACTAAGCAGTTCATGTCACTAACCAACGTACGCAAACTCATGACCGCTTTGTGTAAGTGCAAACGTCTTAGTCCTTCATCCTTCTCGCTGAAAAAAAGTGTTTTTATTCCAGCTCAAGTGGTGCCTGGTTTGTTGGTGTTCGCCATAAGTTATCTAGGGTGCGACATTGAATATGTGCTGGTCATTTGGTTTTTTGCCGTCACCCTGATAACAGCAGCGTATGCTGGAGCGATGGCTAACGTCGTGGATATAGGTAAGATATGAATCTTCACATGCATTTTTTGTTGGAATAATATTTTGGCTACAAAGGGGTCAATGTAAAATATGATTTGAATCGGCGCCACTGTCAAAATTATTGTACTTCTATTAGATCAACAACTGTTGTGTGCCAATATTTCATTGCAAACCGAACTGATTATCATCAAAATTATACGCTTCCTCAAAACGTTTTCAAATATTTTTGAAAATATGCTCAATAGAGCTATTGGTCTGCAATTTTCTGGATCTTCAGCATCCCCACTCTTGAATATAGATCTTAGTGAAGCGAAGCATGTTTCAATTCATATGGAAAAATACCTAATACAAAATAATTATTGATCAATTTTGTCAAGGGTTTAGCCAGCTTTTTAATTCATATATTTTAATTTCATATGTTTGGTTGATGAACCTTCAGAGTTTTCTTCAGAGTATGAATTATTTCAATAACTTCATTTTCATCAATTGGAAATAGAATCATTGTGGAATCATTGTATTCTGGAATATTTTTTCTTGCAACTCCTGCCTGCTGGTATGCCACTTCCTCTGTATATCCTGAGAGAGAACTGTCGCTGTCTATCCGGCTCGAAGGACCAAAATTATGTTTGTTAATGTTGAATTGTATGAAGTATGTATGTTTGAATGATTTGATTGCAAGAAGTATGATAAGTTGAAATATGTTGAATGTTTTCCACATTATACATAGATCTTATGTACAAAAATTCGAAATTACCCAATTATCACACTTTTCAGCGCCGAATTTTGCCGGGCCGGTCCTGGCCTTCGCTCAGACCATCCACATGTGCGCCAGCTTTCTGAGTCCGCTGGTCGCCTTCCACATGTTGGAAGGCCAGGAGCAGAACATGTCCGCGTGGCGGGGCGTTTTCTACGTGACGGGTGTCATCGCGATAGTCACATACGCGGTCTATCAGATTTGGGGTACGGGAGATGTAAGTATTACGTTTATTATAAATGTTTGCTTAGGTATAATTAGAGTTCCTAAATGTACTTGACACTGCTGTTTTGGCGTTTTTGGTATACTAGAGTACGGACACTAGACAAGCAGTGACAATCAAACATAACTGATAAATTTCAAGAAACATACTTTTATTTAGTTTGGAACAATTTCACTTGTACAAGAGTGGTAGGTAATAAGTAATTGATAAATAAACAAATGATATGGCAACAATAACAGCTGATTTCAGTTAGAATAAATAATAAAGGTTCTGGAAGACATACGGAAGTAGGTATAAATGGACTCCAGCCCACTATAGATCGTCGTTTACATTGCTAAAGGGGATTGGTGGTTGAAACTGGCCATCGGAAGATCATTTTCAATACCCCTGGAGGTAAAATATTGAAACTCAACCTCACTTTTTTTATTTGTTTACAGAGGAATCCAAGGAATGTAATAGGTTTTCACAATATTTTGGCATAGGAATCGGTGTTTTTTGCACTATTTATTAATTCAAGCATGTCTTCGCATTGTGCTGTTGAACAATGCAAAAAAATACAGCGAAAGACGACTGAATATGATTTTTCAGGTAAATAGTAATTTCACATAGTTTTCATTATCGAAATTCCGTCTGCCACTTCTGCAATACAAGCTAATACTGCTTATAGATTGAGAATGTCTACAACACACGCGATCAAAATGTTTCGTCAGCATGTTTGATTGCATGAATCCAATCTTCTTGCATTATTTTAGAAATTTCACGAGTATTTCCATTTGCTCCTATTGCAGAAGGAATTCCGATGGGAAATCAGAGAAATTACCAAATTTCATAAATGAAAACTATATGTGAGTGACTATAGTAGGTACTTACTTTCAAATCATAATGTACCAACCGGATTCCTTCGTCTTCCGCTGCAGTTTTTGTGCATTGTACAAGAGCACAATGTGATGGCATGAGCGAATTAATGAATAGCCGAAAAATGCGAATCAAAATACGATTGGCATGCCAAAATAATTGTGAAAAACTATTTCAATCACTTGTAAACAAATAATAAAAGTGAGGTTGTGTTTCAATATTGTGCCTCCAAGGTCGGTCATGTGACAGTTCTTGCACGCAACCCATTATTTGCGTTTTATTTATCCGATTCCGCCACCGGAATCAGTTTAATATGTCGTTTTATTTGCAACTTTTCTGATTCCGGTTGCTACTTTTCATTCCGTCTCACTACAAGGAATGACATGGAATGACTGGTGACAGGTGTCAAGTAATCAAATGAGGTTGACGAAAAACGAAATTTTTTGAAAGTGAAAGACATTTAGAAGACATTTTCATCGTGAGTTCCACTAGTTCATGATTCTTTCAAGTAAGACAGGTTTAATAATATTTTCATTCCCAGATAAAATGAATTCTCTCAATCGCAGAGAAGTTTCTTCAATCACCAAAATCACTGCTCCAAATATTAGTTGATTCATTTTCTAGATCCTTAACTCTATTGTATTGTGATTTTGAAATCATTTAGATCCCCTATCTACAAATTCAACCTCTTATGTAAATTCTCTCATGCAAGGTCATGAAGTTTCTCGTTTTATTTTTAAAAGTCATTCTGTTCCCACCACCGCTACCGGAATGGAACAAATAAAACGCAACTAATGTCTTATTATTTCAAAAAATCTCATCGCTCATGAAATGTCGAATGTGAAGCTCTGTCTAATAAATGAGCATTACTTGACAGGAATTCAGATGGCTACAAGACGAAGGAATCGAAAATGCCGCTTTTATCTATTATAGCCGTAGAAAAATTATATTGTATAGCTTGCACGGAATGCTAATTTCCGTGCTCGAATGAACAAACTTCATTCTTGGAAATCATTATCATTCCGTGCTCGTTAAACAATCTACTATTCCAGAGCTATTCGCTGGAATCAATGTCACCAGGTGGCGCTCGGTTTTCATACGTCAAAACTGGGGGAAAACAATTTCAATCCTCACTCAATCCCCGTAATGCCATTAGCTTGTGTACTGTGTACTGATAAGAGTGATGTTTGTAAATTTCTTGACATCAATTGTCAACATTCGGTCGAAAACGCTAATAATGCTTGTTGGTAGATGTTGTTTTGGCAGATATTTTGCTCTATTTTGACGGAAAAAGCCGACCAGTAGTGGAAGGAGAAGCAGTTCTCCATGCTAATCATGTGATTTTGTGTGAGGCAGAAGACTTCAACAAAAGGCACATTTTTGCACTTTGTCTACAAACTTCGGCGATGAAATCTTCCACACATGAAGTAAAATTGAAGTTGGGGTCCAGAGGAACTCCTGTAGAACAATGGATTTGTATTTGTTCATGCAAAGCAGGACAATCTGGGTATTGTAAACATGTTGTAGCTGTTCTTTTATATGTCAATTGATTTGCTCGTCATAATTAGTTTGAATTGTTTAAACTATCTCCAATTCTTTACCTGTTCACTGTTCACTAAACTAATGAAAATGTAATGATGTGAAAAAATTAACCAACTCAACCATCATCACTACCAACAGTGCCAACACTTTATGTCATTGACAAGTTTGATTACAGCTACAGCAAGCTGAATGCAATGTAGTCTATGCACTTTATCCATAGACAACAGTTTGTTTTCCCCCAGTTTGAAGTTCGTATTATGTAACCTAGATGTCGCCCACTTCGTGAATCTCGCGTATAACAGTCGATTTCTTGCAGATCCAGTCGTGGAACGATTCCAAGGAGACTGTGCTGACACCCGAAAGAGAGGAGCTGATGACTAGCGGAAATTCCCATAAAATTAAGCCTGCCATCGTGAAGAATGGCTCTGGTCCCGAAGAGATAGCGTGAAATTCGGGTGATATATCCACAATCTGGCATCTTGATAGGGACTAAACCAATTCAGTAACTTCGGTATTCCTCAATATTCATTGTGATAAGCTTAGATTTTAGGTAATAGGCGGAGAAAGAAAAAAAAAATAGCTGAATCGTGATGTTTACAGAGGGACTTAGTTCGACTAAAGTAGTACTAGCCGAAGTTCCCTTTAATATTTACTTTTAATATAGGAAATTTTCTCTATTATGGTAGAATTACTTGAAATATTAGCATCTCTATTGATAATAATATTTCTCAGTATAGTATGGTCTATATATATTAAGGAAGTTTTACTGGAGCCATGGAATAAAATACCGAAAAAATACAAATCTAGTATTTGTATTTTTTCTATCGATCATCAATATTGAAAGACCAAATCCTATTATACAGAGCAAATTCTCGAATATTGCATAATGATTTATTGTTTGTTAGTCTGTATGTGGCCATCATGCACTTAAGTAATAGAACAATAGATATACAGGGTGTTTCGTAATGAAATGGGCATACTGCTTCCTGGAATAGGAGACATTGATGTGAATTCAAGTCACCTTCCCTTTTACCTACAAGGGATTCGTTCATTTTATGACGAAAATGGTGAAAATGTTTGAATTTTTCGGTAATGTAATGATTCAATAAAGTTCGTTAATATTGCTTCCTTATTTCACTAGTGATATTCAACACAAAATATGGACTTCAAAAATGATTGCTTACAGGAGCAGAATTTTAGAACTAATGTGTAAATATTTTTCATTTAAAAAACATAATATGGTGTTTTATTTTTCTTATTTTTGAATATTAGTTTTTATTTTAAGTCTGGACCTGAATTTTGTGTCGACTATCACTAGTTAAATGGGTGTGCAAAACAATATTTTCGCCAAAAAATAGAGGACTTTGAGAATTCCGTGATTCACCCTAGTCTAAGTTATGATGAGACACCCTGTATTTTAGGCATAAAATCATTTTAATCTAAGATCTAGTTATCGAATGGGTTATTGAAATATATATTTTTGCGGTCCAGTTCTTAAAAAAAGACTATCGATCTGAGGAAAACAAATTTTCCATTTTTCCTGGTACTTAATCCAAATAAAAAAATGACAATCCCTCTGCAACATACATGACATGAAAAATTATAATGTGGATTAGTTTCTCTACTGGTATACAGAATATTAGAATAAAAACTAGGTATTGAAAACAGCAGACACCATATATTTTCATGTTCTCTCCAATATTTTTTTATTATTTTTTGTTGAAATTCATGTTCTGGTGAAAAAGTATTATATATTTCTCTGTTTTGGTGTCGTTTATTCGATTCAAGGAGTGATAAAGCATGAACCGTTTACAAAATTCAATAATTGAAACTGATAGGATTTCAAAGAAAATTAACAACATTTTTTCAACCAACCAGGTTATAAACCATAGTAACCAAACATTTTCAGCAATCTTCTTCCTCAAAAGATTTTTACACTGACTATTCCACTCTTGATCTCGAGAACCAATCAGAATCGACCATTTTCACGGTTTCCTCTGTATTCTAGCGATATTTTTTGTTTATTGAATTTTATCGGACTTGCTCTACCAATACAGAAGCCGAATTGACTCACACGTGACCAACAAACCTCGTTTATCAGCGATAAAATTTTGACATCGTGTCTGGTCAAGATTGCTTTGGATTCAAATCTGAGACAATAACCTGAGTTCCTACTTTATTTTATTTACTTATAATTCGCGTTAGTGAGATATTTTGTACGAAAGGCGAGACAATTTCATTCTGGCTGGACGTTTCATGTGTAATTTGAAAAGTTTGCATATTTGTTGACGGTCTGACACAACAATACTAGAATTCAAATTCCTTTTTAAAGTAATCTTCTTCAATCACTCAAGTTATTGTGACTGATATAGTTACCAGATGATGTAGCGCAACTGATAGGGTTGATGCGCGAAGATACGAAGGTCGATGGTTCGAGTCCCTCGGCGACGACAACTATTTTTTTAATTATTTCATGTCACATAAATTCAATTTCTTTTGTTCGGATTGGATAGCAATTTTATGCACTCTTTTGAGAGCAACCATCTTCAAGATAATAAAAAAATACTGTTTATAAAAATTGTACATTCCACTTTGTGAATAACTATAATAAGTAGGTAGTTAATTTCTAAAAAAGTAAATTCTGTATTTCATTACTATCATTATGTTCTTCTTCGCAGTTCGAGTTGGAATATACTTAAATTATGTTTCCTATTTCTTATACAGTGTGTCCCACTTACCATGCTCACCATGGGTATCTTTTTAACGGTGAGAGATACGAGGTCGGTTAAATGACACCAAATGTGGAGTTTGTCAAGGCCAACTATAATGTGAAAAAATATTTTGATAAAATCTATTCGTTTTTGTTTTATACGCAAAAAACAGATTTTGATCATTTCTTTATTAATGAAAATATTCAAATAGGAATTTCACATTCTCATGGCAGTTTTTCGAAGTGATTTCGAAAAAAATATGAAATTATGAGAAAAATATGAGATATCAGCACCAACTTTAGTTTTTCAAATGTAGGTCATAGCTCACTATGACTTAGTAGGAAATAACTTTTTTTTCTCTTCCAGATGATATGTCGCAGTGATAGTTTTGTGTTGATAACAACGGAGTTATCGTCATTTATAAAAAAACAAAAAATTATTTGGAAGCCGCCATCTCGAATTTATAAATTTTAACAGAAAAATCATGATCTCCGAGCTCAAACACCCCCACTTACCAATTTTGAAAGGAATCGGACCAAATCTTGTCCGCCATCTTGGAACAGCCATTGGTTTTTATTTCAACAAAAACTCCATAATGTATTTTCACCGAAATTATGGACACCCGCTAAATTTCTAGCTAATCGAAGTTATGGAATTTTTGTTGAAATTGAAAAAATGGCTGCTCCAAGATGGCGGACAAGATTTGGCCCGATTCCATTTTCAAAATTGGTAAGTGGGGGTTTTTAAGGTCGGAGATCATGATTTTCTTGTTAAAATTCATAAATTCAAGATGGCGGCTTCCAAATATTTTTTTGTTTTTGTATAAATGACGATAACTCCGTTGTTATCAACACAAAACTATTACTGCGACACATCATCTGAAAGAGAAAAAAAAGTTATTTGTAACTAAGTCATAGTGAGCTATGACCTACATTTGAAAAACTAAAGTTGGTGCTGATATCTCAAATTCTAAAAGAGTTGGTATAAATTTCATATTTTTTTCGGAATCACTTTGAAAAACTGCCATGAGAATGTGAAATTCCTATTTGAATATTTTCATAGATAAAGAAGTTACTGAGGAGACATGAAAATGATCAAAATCTGTTTTTTGCGTATAAAACAAAAAAGAATAGATTTTATCAAAATATTTTTTCACATTATAGTTGGCCTTGACAAACTCCACATTTGGTGTCATTTAACCGACCTCGTATCTCTCACCGTTTAAAAGATACCCATGGTGAGCATGGTAAGTGGGACACACTGTATATATTGTCTCATTCAATCATGAAATAGTCATACGAATACAACTCGTGATACTATTTTTCCTGGAAATATTCGTCGATTGACATACTCCAGCTTGCTCCTCTAATTCCGCTCATGACATTGATCCAAAAATTAGTTTTGATAACAATGTCATTCACGAAATTACCAGGCAACAAGCTGTCGTAACAATCACCGAATATTTCCGGCAAAATATTATCAGTTGTGGTATTATATATGATAAGTTTCCAACCTATTTTAATAGAAGATGTGAACGAAAACTCAATTCCATATATTTTTTGTTACAATGAACAAAATCTGAATCTGATTACTTGCTGAAGGTTGAAACAAATTCATTTGAAGCTTGATATGATCAGTGGGAAAAAACATCTCAGACACGTCGATTGTCTCTTTCAGATGCGCATTTGTTGGTCTACTAATATTTTTCTTCATCATTATAAATTACATTATTATGAATGAATTATCTGAGTAGGTTGCGTTCGGCCCAATTTTTGATTCACCCAATTTTCGATTCATCCACCATCTCCGAATATACCTATAAACGATGCGTTGTTGCCAAATCTGTTGAAGAATCATTCTGGGCTTATCATTATTGAATATTTCAATTTTTTGATGCATATAATATGTATGTATGGTACATATTTCGATTCACCCAATTTTCGGATCGCCCAATTTTCGATTCACCCAATTATCGATTTGCCCCAAACTCGATTCCAGCAAATTTCGATCGACCCGAACTTCGACGTAATATAAGGAAGGACAATATTCTTTCCTGCATAAGGAAGAAGACTACCTTTTCCAAAATACCTAACCTAACCTACCTAACTCGGCCGAATCGAAAATTGGGTGAATCGAAAATGGGGCAAATCGAGAATTGGGCGAATCGAAAATTGGGTGAAACGAAATGTTGGCCCAACGACATATTCGAATGTGAAATGATTGTTGATAATTCCCGTTTCATTGAATGAGAGGAAGTGTGGCATTATTTGACAACAGCGCATCTTTCGGGTATGTTCAGAGACGGTGGGTAAATCGAAAATTGGATGAATCGAAAATTGAGTGAGGAGTTCGCCTTTTGACCATGGAAGGAGACACATGGCGTCTCAAAAGTCAGGTTAATGTGTGTGCAAGTCTACAATTTTTCTAATTACCTGATCTGGATTAAAATCCAATATTTATTGTGAAGTTTAATAAGTGTGTGTGAAAATTATCAAGCCCTTTTATCTCTACGCCGGTATAGAGGCCGGATGGTGACGGATTTACCGGATAAAGGGGCCATAATTGAAATCAAACGTGCTCAGCATGAGCACATACGATAGAATCTTTGACATTGATGAACTCGGTTCCGGGCATGGTGGTGCTCGAGTCGAGAGATAATATTATTACATAACCATATATTATTCTCGAAAAAATTCATTACCCGATCTGGAGAAATTGTTACCGAAAGGAGACAGAAATCCAATAAACCCAATAGAAGAAGAAGAAGAAGAATTGAGTGAATCGAAAATTGGGTCGAACGAGACGTTCCAAAATATCTTTCTTTTCTAGAAAATCCAATTATGTAACATGATAACAAGTTAAGAAAAAACATGAGGTATTATCGAAATATGGTATAGCCATTTTGAAAAAAAGATAATGGCGTTATCACTGTTCGAGTTATGAGTGGACAAAAAAATGCGCAAGAGAAAATGAATCAACTTGTCTGTGTGATCTGATTTTTTTTCCACTGGTCATATCAAGCTTTCAATGAATTTGTTACAACCTTCACGAGCTCACTGTATAATATACCCTGTTATTGGTTAAAAATGTTGAAATGGATCATGTTTTTATCTCTCACTGAATTTATGAGGACATTTATGTATCCAGCCTTATATAAATGTTCTGCTCCACATACATGTATATTTATTTATTTGTAGTTCAACTACCTCAGACAATGGCAGTATGTCAATAAAAAAAATGTTGCTGTGGTTATAACGGATCATTTTTATATTGAAGGCTTTCTATGCTTCGTGAAATATTCTAGCAGAATACCACTCTGTTCTGAATATCGTCTTATAATTCTGTCTCTGAACATTGTGTTATACTAAGGTTTTGAGGTACCATGTGAATACTATTTTTGTTGGCCATTTGTAGATTATCTTTATAATTACTTGATTTTTAGTAGATTCAGAAATATCAATTGGAACAATTGATCCAGTTATTCCTGAAAAATCATGTCCAGTATTCAATATCTGAAGCAGTTGGGGCTATTTCCAGCTGCTATCTGCTGTGAAGTGTTGTTCCAAAATTTAATTTCTTAAACTAAACTGGTCAACATTGATAACGTCGTGCCTGAATTCAAAGTAAACTACTCAACACTAATTTCGTCGCACACCAAAATGTCGCCCCTGTTATAATGTGAATAACTTTTTTCAGTTTAAAACAATTTGAATTTGGTTCACACTGTTCGATAGCCCAGTCCTTCAGCTATTATCTGGTACTTCATTGAAACAAAAGGGTATTCACATAAAATCTCTACATGGTGTTTTTCGACACTGTGCAAAATTTCGGAATATTCAAAAA